CAAATTAAAGGAAGCTTGAAATATCAAGGAGTAAATGCAGGCATTGAACACAAGAATTTTTTAAACACTCTTTGTGAGTTCTTGATAGTATGTCAGTTGACTTCACATTACCATGCAACTACTGAATATGTTTTGATTGTACTGTATTGGGTTATATTCCTTTATTTGGGTGGCTGGAAAGTCTTTTATTCTACTCACACTCCAGGTGAATGAGGTGGCTCAGAACTACTGAGGCTAGAAAAGGTTTGTCATCATCAATTCCATCTTCATGACCTTGAGGTTCAAAGGACCTTCATGATGGAGGAAAAATGACAACAGAAACTTAGAACTGTTCTAAATTGAATAGATAGATTTATTTAGATGCATTTATCAGACATATACATATACAGTATGTACTTTGTGAAGATGGCTATAGTTGCAGGTTTCTCCTCATTAATATCCTTTTGTTAATTTTAAGTAGTACATCGAACAAACTTTACAAATACAGGCATGATTTGTACAATTGTTTATCAGTTTGCATTTAATAATTTTCCATCAAAAATGTGATAATTGGCTCTTTTACCTCAAATTTTAATAGCCATGCCAAACACAAACCTACTCGTGCTACAAATAGTGTAGCAATCCTAATACAACAACATGTATTACTTGCTGTCGGAAGCATTTCTTGTCGGTAGAGAAAAACCGCTCAATTTAACCCTTCACAGTCATTGGCAATAAAACTAAGGACTAGGTACATGTAATTAAAATATGCTTATTGCATTGTTTTGTAATTGCCATTAAACAATTGGAACAGGTGGTCATTTCCTTCCCTCTAAAGCCATGAGATGGGAGCCTGTATTATGGCATATTAGTCACTGAATGAGTGGCCACAATCTAGAAAAAAGTAATGCAAAGTACATGGATTTTCTGTGCATTTTATACAGAAAATCAACCTAAGCAACGCGGAATGAACTGTCACGGTGCCTTCACAACTATCTAGTCTTTGTCTTTATACTATAAAACATCCATTTGACTGAGATACATTTGAAGGCCTCAGGACTAAGCAAAAACTGTTAAAACAGGCAAACTGCGTCACTAGGTACTGTGCACAGTGATAGCTCAGTTGGTACGGTATTCCGGAGGTCGCAGGTTCAAATCCCACTCCAGTCAATTTCTTTGTTCATCTTTATAATCATTTATAAACATCTAGTCAATTTCCCTATATAATTTGTTTCATGAATTTTGGAACTGTAAAAACATTGCAAGTGATAGCGCCACCATGGGTGATAGCGCCACCTTAGGCATTTGTGCAGTAGCTGACAGATATAGATTCATTCCCCCTCATTGAGTCACTGTGATGACAGAAGAAAAGCATCTTACCAGCTGAGGTGTGCCAGGCAATATGGACATGATGTAATCCGCCAGGAACAAGCAGGGCTCAGCAACTACCTGCATATCGAAAACAAACAAAACACATCCTAGTCAGACCTGAATACCCAAAGATAATTAATGCTTTGATTGAATGTGGCATCTAATTAACAATAAACTAGTGCAGTGCAGTGTAAGGGATTTCACATGTAACCGTACAGCTGCTTAAAGTTTAAAGGGTAAATTACATTACATAGTTTTGTTACTTTTTGATCGGTAAAACCATGGAGACCCTCTTGCGGTGTACTCAGACTATTCTGTATGTCAGGTTAAAATTCATGGTGCAACGACCAAAATCTCTTGTTGTTATAATTTTTTAAGAGCTGTTGTAATCTTAGGGTCTCTAGTGAATTGACTATCAGGGTTTATTCTGTTTTTACTAAAAGAAGTTTTTCTATTGTTCTTGTCACATGTGCATGAGGTGAATGCACATGTAGGCCAACTTATTTCATGTAAACAGATCTCCTGCCACTTACAGATGTTTTATTGATTTATTAGTGCAATTGTTTGGAGTGGTTGGACTTTAAATGAATTAGATTTAATCTGTAAGGTAAATAATGATAATAAAAATAACTACATTTCTTAATAAGCACCTAACTACAATTAAGTTCCTATGTGCTTTTCCATTATTCCTGGTACCGCAGTAATTAGAGATTGATCTATTAGGTACTCGGGGAATATCGTCGTATCAATTCAGAGTCTTCATTCCAATGTACACATTAAGACTGGAAGGTAATAACAGGGTAAACTCTTTGCAATTTCAATCAACAGAAAGTCTATGGGGTAAATTAGTTTCCTTGAAATGAATCCAGTAGGACGATTGACCAGGTGAATAAATGTTCCTGACACTTCCATATTTGTCATTATTTTGCTTGAGATAGTTTCCATGGTTACCTTCACTGAAGGTAACCATGGAAACTAGGCTTCAGATAGTACATGTACTGGGTACAGGTGTAAATCTTGCCTATTTATCTACATGGAACAATTGACTTATATTTTTGCTTTTTCTTCTTTTATTTCTGGTGACATCTCAAATTTGAAGCAAGAAATGGGACGGCGAGAACCCCTGTGTTAGTCATTGTGAATCTCAGCAATTCTTTACAGACATTCAGGGGGGCTGTGTTGGGTAGCAACTCTAGAGTGTCTGTGTGGTTTTGACGTGGGGGTGGAAGTATCCCTCTGTCCGTAATCTTGCAGGGTTATAACTACGCTGTTGGCTTGTTTCACACCAATTCACAGTGGCTGTAATGATACCACTGGTAGAGATCCGGACTCAGAGTGTTGTTGGCGTGTTTATTTTGTAACTACATGTACTTGACAGTTTGGTTCTCAGATGCTTAGAAATACAATAACAGATTCACTCTCAGTCATGTGGTTTTAGATTCAGTCTCATACATGTACGTGTAGGCAAAAGCAAGAAAATAGTTCAGTGTGGTAAATATCCCAAATAAAACGTTTAAAAAAATCTCCCTGCACCTAACAGAACAATTGTTCCTGAGAGAATATCATTCATTGAACTAAAAAAATGAAAACAAAGGTTAAGAAGTAGTGTATCTTCATGGCCAAATATTCTTTGTTTCATGTTTTTTCTACACCACACAAAAACTGTATTTCAAACACTTTTCACGCCACATAAGAAAATACACGATGTACTACATGTGTACAGATGTGCACGTACCTATGGCTCAACATTTTTACTTTGGGGATACAATATACTGCACATACAGATATTCAACATCAGAAAGAAAATAGTTCAACGTGGTTTGGTCTTCTCTCATTGAATTTTATTGAGAAAGAATACTTTATGTTCACCAGAAAGCTCAATTCTGACAGCGGGTGTACATGTACATGTACCAGTACATGAAGACAGAACAAAGAGAAAACACCGGTGAAACAATTCTGTCATTCAATTGGACAATTTCAAAAAACAAAACGGACGAATAAGAAGTCCCCATGACACCTTCGTGGCTGAATAAACAAAATTCTGTGTTAGTTTTATTTTGTCAACATCGTAACAAGAGATCACTTCCCAATTATGCAATGAATCTGGCATTAATTCAAATGCTTTGATCAATGCTTGAAAATAGAAAGCTAGACTGGGGTACCTTTAGACTCTCATTACTGATTAAAACTATGCAAATGAGGCATTTGTTTGTGTACATGTACCATGCATTAGTAAAGGAAACTAGCCAATCAATGAAGTCCAACCTCAGGAGGTTGTTATCAGTGACAACAACAGTACATGTATATGGTACATGTAGTCTCGGTTTCATTTACGCTACAAAATTCTTTCATAAGAAATGCAAATAAGGAGGTGCAAACTCAATCCAAGGATTTATGGGCAGATTCAACACAGTTGGTACATTTTTAGAAGTACAAATTCATTCAAAAGCATAAAATATGAAATCATTTCATCTGTCCCAATTCCTAAGCACCACTTCAATGGAATGTTGGGAGACAAAGGGATTGGGGAACGTTTACTCTTTTATTTGCAGACCTCTTCGAAAAGGCCATCTGACATCATCTGATACATGTACTTGTGTGTTTATTGAAATTGTGCAATATGATTTGAAAAGATAACGGTTTCAGTTTTATGAGGAATGATAAATATTTATATCAGGCATTTAGTGAAATGTACATGTAGTTGTCAGACGGCTTCAATATCCAATCAGACACTCAAGGATACCTGTTTACTGGCAGAGAATAAGACCACACTCTCAATCTTGGAAACTGTGCCATTTGCCATCTATCTGTGGTGACAAGTTTCTGTTACAGCTATGGATAAGGATGCAGAGATAGCTGAGGCCTTGAAGGAAATCCAAAGGCAAAATGACTTGTTCGATGCCATCAGTTATGTAGTTAACTTTTGCATGACACCGATCGGTCTCCTGTTGAATATGACATTTCTCTATGTTGTGGCACGTGTCCGATCCATGCACACTGTCGTCAACATCTATTTGGTCAATCTAGCAGTAGTCGACAGCATCCACCTCGCATGTGTGTTCATTTGGTTAGTGTGGCCTGACAACAAAAGCTTGGTGTTTGTATCCATTATAGGATTTATTTCCACACCAAGCCGACTGGCTTCATATTTCACAGTGACTGCACTGGGTTTTGAAAGGTTCCATGCTGTCTACCATCCACTGGAGCACAAAGCAGAATTCAGCAAAGCTCAGGCTGCCAAAAGACTGGCCAAAATATGGATCATTGCAGCTGTCACAGGGTCTACATATTATTCAATAGTCCAATGGGGAGGAAAAATAACGAGGGTTGCTGGTTGTCTGTTCACTGTTATCTTCCTTTATGTTGGCATTGTCAAGAAATTAAGGCAGCAACTACAGAT